TCAATCATGAGCTTGTCATCATCACTTCTTAATTATTAACCATTTTTAAATTAATTTTCATTTTTATTATTATTCTATGTTTAAGTTTGAACACCCATCCTTTGGTAAGAGTAGTAGTCACAATTTCAATCTGTAGCCGACTTATTTGGGGGATATCATATTCATAAATTGGTTTCCACACAGAACCCAATTGTTCAATTTTAAGACGTTACTGTTGTGATTAGTAATTAATTGGTTATTCTTTATTAACTGGTCATAGTTCGCAAGCAGTTCTCAATGAGGATATTTTTATTTAGTAATTATCAAATATCTAATAAGGAACTACCTTTGTCCTAAATGTGCTACTACTTACTGCTTAGTTAATCTCGCTTCTCTATTAGTTAATAGTATTAAGTTAAGTGTTAATGTAGTACTACCTATTACTTCCTGCATAGTTACTTGTTAACAACGGAGCATTATTTTAAAGTGTTACCTTTATTTTCAAACATTTGCGATTTACAAAACGCGTTCAGAGACGCACACGTCTCGCTGTTATTCGTGGTTTTTAAAGTCCAATTAATGTTGGATTGACAATATTCATATGTGTAAAAACACGCAGATAACAGCATAAAGTTAGAAAGAAGTTTAATTTACAAGTTAAATATCAAATGAATCGTGCTTTAGTTTTAAGAAGAACAGTTAAAACGTGATTTACCACATTCAGTCCTTTATTATCGTATTTGTGCGCCGAAGATTTCTGCTCGCTTTCCGTCGATCAGAGTTTGGTTTGTCCTTCAACACTCGAATTATTTCCGCTTTAAACCGCGAAATATAAACGAGCAGATGATTCTCCGTAAGCTACTACAGTCTGATGCTCTTCCTGAAATCCGACGTTTAAACGTTTCATCTTTTCTTCCGTTAAAACCCATCTGTCCATGAAAGGCATCATATGAGCTTCTGAAGAGAGAGAGAGAGAGATCCCTCCCCTCTGTGTGTGTGTGTGTGTGTGTGTGTGTGTGTGTGTGTGGCTCAGAATCGCGTGCGAAGAGTTCGGCGTGTCATTCTGTGGAATCCGCCACCTGAAACACACTATATAACAGCAAACACACACACACACACACACACACACACACACACACTCGAGTCTGCTGCAGCTCATTCTGCGCTCGATCATCACACAGCAGGTACTTTCATATTGATTTATTGATGATTACAGACGCTTGCTTTGACTGTAAACAGCACCATAATCGTTTAGGAATGAATCAATTATTCATTCATTTGATTCTGTATCTACCCGTATTTAAACTAGTGTAATGGAATCAGTGTGATTAATGATCGATATCAAACTGAATGCATTGAATTATTGTTAGGAGCCTGTTGCATGTGTTTCAGAGCATCTGTTGGTGAAGATGATTCCTCCTGGAGACTGTCTGTACGCTGGGAGGAAGAGGAGGAAACCCGTCCAGAAACAGTTAAGACTCTTTATCTTACATTCACTAACAGCTCTGTGTTTCAGATCATCAGCAGTTTAGCAGAAACTCACTGAGTGACCAAGGATTGTTTTCCTAAATCAGAACATCCTGAAACACTTCCCTTAACAATATCGACAATAATAATAATAATGATAATAATTTTTTTATGGTTTAAAACAACAACTACAACAATACTACTAATACAACTACTACTACTAATAATTTTTCTTTGGTTTAAAACAATGCCGTAATGAAAACATTAAACGCTTATGTGACACTAATGATGAACATAAGAGAAAGTGAGTCAAACTGTTTGAGTTTGAAATTATTGCAAAAGAGATCAAATCAATATTGAGACCAGAACGCAGCAAAGAAACATTGATAAAACCTCAGAAGATTTTAATCACATGGTAAAGTCATAGCCGTCCCGAGATGAGGCTTTTGTTGATGTTGAATATATTCATAGCTGCTTTTGAAGAGTTCAGAGATCGCTCGGGTCGTGAGCTAAAGCTGGAGCTGGTGAAGCTGATTGATTGCTGTTATGTGAATGAGAGTCAGACGCACCTGCTGCCGTTTGCTAGTTTCTTCATCTCAGATAAAGTGACCGGTCCTCGGGGTCAAGGCTCAGTGCGGTGTGAGAAATTCATTCATTCATTTATTTATTTGGCCTCGTGAACCGAGTGAAATAATGTGTTCAGTGTGCAGCGAGATGAAGAACATCACTGAATATTTGACTGAATATCACCTTTAACCCTCACCGACTCAAGCCGGGCAATTATTGATTAGTATACATTTGTTTTTAGAAGCCACTGTAAATATCATAATTTTGTGGCAGAATAAGAATTTGTCTCAGGCCTTGTGAATTTTATAGTCTTAACTTTTTATTAAATGATCATTCTTTATCTGTTATCATTCATAATATTATCACACATAATATTGTTATTTGTGCCACTGAACATTATGAGAAATATATTACAGCTCAAAGATGTGTATTTCTAGTGTTGTCATTGGCTGTGTGAAATGTAAAGAGTACATGTTGTTGCTCTGTGCTTCTGTATGTGGTTTAATCCAGAGTAAAGGGCGTTTTCTGTGAATGCGTCAGGCGTGTTGATTCTGGCTCGTTGTTGCTTCATAACACTGTTGTTTTGTCCAGCAGAAAACCAGCGGCAGTGACGGAAAAATCGAACCCGTCAAAGCGGCACCGCGACCGTCTGAACTCTGAGCTGGAGCGACTGGCCAGCCTGCTGCCCTTCTCCCCCGAGATCATCTCCAAACTGGACAAACTGTCTGTCCTGCGCCTGAGCGTCAGCTACCTGCGGGTCAAGAGCTTCTTCAGCGGTGAGTGTGTGTGTGTGTGTGTGTGTGTGTGTGTGTGTGAGAGTGTGTGTGTGTGTTTTTGCACTGATCTTCAGGAGACTTTATATCAGACCGCACAGCAAATGTCTTTAAGAGTGTTCAGCTCACATTTGACAAAAACATCATGCTCTTTTTGACATGTCTTGAACAGCATTGTGGGATATGCCTTTGCTCTGAAACTGGAATATGTTGAGTAATTGTCCAATATTCTAAAATACTTCAGATCTTTATGTTTTTTTTTGCTGTTGATTTATCAGTGATCTGTTAATGTATAAATGGCTGAAGTGTTTGATGGTGGTCAGAGATGATCTCTGGATGGATTGATGTGGATCATATGTGATTGTAAATGCCGTGTGCTGGTTAATACACACATGAACACACACACACACACACACACACACTGTCGTCTGAGCTTGGGTTTGTGGGTTTGAGCTCCTGGATGTGTGTGTCATTCACTCTGTGATGTTCAGAGTGAATTAAACTCTGTCGTTTGTGCAGTGCTTACATAGCTGTCAAGACAAGCTTATAGACATATTCTTTTAAATTAAATAAATCATCACTTCAATTAAACATTAAATCATCAAATGCATGAATTTAAAAAAACGAGCTTGCTTAACTAAATAAAAAAATTACGCTTTATTTATTTCTTTTTTTCAGCATGCTCGTTGATATGCACACATCTCATGTTGAAGTGTTTTCCCATAACCACTAGAGGGTGTGAGAGGTGAGACGCAGGGAATGCTGGGATGTTGAGCCTGTAAACATCTGTAAGGAGCGCTTCTGTGTCTGTGTGACATTTAATAACTGATGTAGAATTTAGTGTAAGAAATAATGACTGATTTGGAAAACCCTGGGTCATAGTTCAGAAATATTGATGCTCAAATAGAAATGAAAGAAATGGAAGTGATTACATGTGACATGCATTATTATATGGGGTGTGCTGTGATTAGGAAACAGCAGTAGTGATGAGAGATCATATAGAGACATTGATCATTGATTCAAGATCTGAGCACCGTGAACTTGTGACCGCTGTTACGAAACAAACAGAATGTGACGGTAAGAGACACGACTGCAGCGGAAGCTCGTTTAACACACGCTCAATGAGTTATTTATGGAAAACTCTTACATTTATGCATTTAGCAGGCGCCTTTATCCAAAGTGACTTACAATGCAGTTCACTGGAAACTGAAGCACGATCTACTGTGTGAGCTGCAGGAATGCTAACCGTTACTGAAAACAGTTTTAAGATAAAATATATATATTTATTTATTTATTTATTTGTGTATTTATGTATTAAAGTGTGAAAACACTTGGAGGGCCACATGGATATAAAAATATCTCAGTTTAAGTTGAAAAACATCTGGTAATTTTAAGGACCAAATTTTTTTTTTCATTTGAATAAAATCAGTATATATAAATAAATGAGTAATATTTTGTTTTATTTGAAGTTTGACAAGACAGGATATTGCAACATATTGCTATATACAAAAAAGGCATCTGTTGGACACTTGCAGAATAACTCAATCAGGGCTGCACTGCAAAAAATGATTCTCTTACTTAGTATTTTTGTCTAGTTTTCTAGTATAAATGTCTAAACATTCTTAAATCTAGATGCATTTACTTGACAAGTAAAATGACTTAAGATATTACGTCTTGTTTTTTGAAAAAATTATCAACATTTTGTAAGCTTTTGCTTAAAACAAGTAAAAATATCTGCCAATGGAGTAAGAAAAATAATCTTAATTCAAAGCTAAACAAGAGTATTTTTCTTGGCCCATTGGCAGATATTTTTACTTGTTTCAAGCAAAAACTAACATAATTTTATTCATTTTTTCAGAAAATATGACATATCTTAAGTCATTTTACTTGTAAAGAAAATTCATCTTGATTCAAGAATTCTTAGTATTTTGTCTTGTTTTCTAGTATAAATATCCAAGTAAGAAAATCATCTTTTGCAGTGTGATCATGCGATCGAGTTCTGTCACTGCAAACACTTAGATAACCATGCTTCTGGAAAACATTACCTTAACTTTAACTTTCACTGAACTTAGAACGCCTCAGGGAACTCAGACATATTTAATATAATGTTTAAGGCTTCACAAATTATATCTGTAAATCTTTAATGCGTTCACTTGTAGTGTGTGGAAAATGAAACTGGCATGAACCCAAATCCTTCTCGTCACTCTTGTTGCACGATTGGCCTCATAGACGCTCTCAGTCTGTCTGTCTGTCTGTCTGTCTGTCTGACTGTCTGTCGGTCGGTCGGTCTGTCTGACTGTCTGTCTGTCTGTCTGACTGTCTGACTGTCTGTCTGACTGTCTGTCTGTCTGTCTGTCTGTCTGAGACAGCGTTATGCAGTCTTTGACGGATCTCATTGTCTTTCTGTCCATCATCTCACCCACAGACCTACTGCAGTACACTTCGTTTACTCTAACTGCGTTTGTCAGTCGCCTGTGTTTCATGGCAGACGCTCTTTGGCCTGAATTGAGAGAGTTTTTCAGGATGAACTCTGTCTGCAGTCCTGAGAGGAAACGGCTTGAGCAAGACGCGTCTAAACGCTGATCCTGCATGAACCAGGAGCTTGAAGAAGGAAGGAGATCAGATCAGCCACAGGAACCGGAGACGTCACTCGCACGTCAGCGCAGGCCTCTGTGTGTTTGAAGAACAAGAAGAGTGTTCAGGATGTGTCAAATCTGTGGAGAGAAACCGCGGCGCATCCGTGTCCACGCGATTCCACAACAAACAAAACACGTCAAATTACCATGGCAACTCAAAATAACCAACAATATCATTATATGGCATACCTATTATTATTTTTAGAAAACCAAAGTGTTATGAATGTTATTTGTATGTTATTTATAGAAGTATATGATAAGTAGTTTTTAGGTTAAAAAATAATTGTCATACTAGACTTTTAATAATAATGTTTGATTTTTAATCCATGATTTAATGTTGAGTTTATTGTCATTCATCAGAACGCTCTGTCTGAATAGGCGTGGCTGATTGTAGACTCGGAAGTAAACGCCCACTGCTGTGATTGGCTAACAGTTGTGTGTGATTGACAGCCTACATTCCTCACAGATGGACGCTGCTGTGATTTAGGTTAAAAGCGCATAAATAACTCCATACATATCAAACAATCTGTAAGAAGAGACGAAGCAATAGTGATCACGTAATGAAAACAGTCAGATCCAATATAGTCGCACAGCATCGTCTTTTAAGCCGGGCTCACAGTACAGGAGTTTTAAAATCCTAACCGATTGTGAAATCTGGTTGCAGCACACACATCCGTCTGTCCGAGGGCCTGTCGGGAGAGACTTATCGCTTCTCGTTTCCCCTGTACACTGCACCACAAACGACGAAGCTGAAATTAGGCCAGACTCAAAAAAAGAGTTGCACGAGCCAAAATTGGGCTCAAAATCGGACGAAAATCGCACAGTGTATGCCTGGCTTAATGTAGAAGCAGGTGTTGATCTTCTGCGGGGGCGGGGTTTATCCACACTATGACATCATAGAATAGAACATTCCACAAGCTGTCGTTTGGCAGACAGCCTTCAATATACAGGTGCATCTCAATAAATTAGAATGTCGTGGAAAAGTTCATTTATTTCAGTAATTCAACTCAAATTGTGAAACTCGTGTATTAAATAAATTCAATGCACACAGACTGAAGTAGTTTAAGTCTTTGGTTCTTTTAATTGTGATGATTTTGGCTCACATTTAACAAAAACCCACCAATTCACTATCTCAACAAATTAGAATATGGTGACATGCCAATCAGCTAATCAACTCAAAACACCTGCAAAGGTTTCCTGAGCCTTCAAAATGGTCTCTCAGTTTGGTTCACTAGGCTACACAATCATGCCAATGAAGACTGCTGATCTGACAGTTGTCCAGAAGACAATCATTGACACCCTTCACAAGGAGGGTAAGCCACAAACATTAATTGCCAAAGAAGCTGGCTGTTCACAGAGTGCTCTATCCAAGCATGTTAACAGAAAGTTGAGCGGAAGGAAAAGACTTAAACTACTTCAGTCTGTGTGCACTGAATTTATTTAATACACGAGTTTCACAATTAGAGTTGAATTACTGAAATAAATGAACTTTTCCACGACATTCTAATTTATTGAGATGCACCTGTAAGCTGTTTTTAGACTTTTTATAGTACAGTGACCTCTTATATGTCAAAAGATCAAGGGACTTTTGGTTTCTCAGTTCATGACCCCTTTAATTATGAATAGTATGAATATTTATAGTTCTCAATGCAAGAGAAAGGAAGAGATCCTCAAGGGAGAAGAATACGGACAGATCGGCTGCTTGTGTCTCTGCAGCACAGGGAAGTTCAACCGTCTGTTCAGCGAGTGTTCGCTCATGAAGGTAATGGAGTGGAAGTCTTTGTTGGCCCAACATCATGGTTAGAGTCTGTCAGATGCGATTGTCGTCAGCCCACTGAAGCACAGAAACTGTGTGAGAGTGAGTTCATCATCTCAGTCACACCCAGTCAAGTGATATCTGACCACAAACACACTGTTTTCAACCTGCTCTAAACCTGCTGACTGGTTAGTTGGTCATTTACAGGGCTGCATCATGTTTTTAGTATTTTAATATGCCAGTAATCGTCGGTTCTGGTTGTATTTATTTGTCCAGACTCTTGTTTGTCTTCGGAGCTTCACTGTCAGCTGAATTATCTTCCTTCTGAAAATCATCCTGCAAACATCGCGTCACTGACTTCATGTGAGCGTTAATGAGATCTGTTAATGAGTTAATGAAGCGTCGACCCACAGACATGGAGGAGATTATTAGAAGAATCACGAGCTTCAGCAGCGACTCTAGAAAAGCTTTGAGTTTGGAGATCTGTGACGATCTGATCATCTGACACACAACAATCACATTGATTTGAAGGTTACTCTGGATAAAAGCACCTGCTAAACAAATACATGTGAATATTCAGAAGCAGCCAACAATCAGGAGGATTTTCCTTT